TTTTGTGATGAAGATGATTGAAACATACCATATCTTAAATTTTAAAACATTTTTTAACTTTTGTAAAGTTTTAAGGGGAATAATAGCCAACCAAGTACATTTTTTGTTGTTTTCATGTGCCAAATCCTATCCCAGAGAATACTCCTCTCCTTGGCAGTTCATGAGATTATCAACCATGTCGCATTTTACTCCACTCATTTTGCTCCTCTCCAGTAAGCATGACTGTAGTAGTTACAGCAGCAGGAAGAGTTAGGAGCTATAAAACAAACATAAATTCGTGTTCAGACAGTTCCAAGATCTAATGATTTGGAATTCAGGACATTACACAAATAGAATTTTATTAACATGGGCCATTTATTTTCAAAGTACCGGGCCTCATTGACTCTCAGGAACAGAATATTCCTAAGATATTCAGGGCGAATATCTTCCACAATTGGACTGAGATAAATTGTGCCTGTGGCAAAAAGTCATGAAGAAGCAAAAAGAGATTATTTATTAAAAGTCATTTAATAAAATGTCCACATGTAACTCAAAACCTGTAATGGAGGTTTATGCAGAGATTTATGTCTTTTGTTGTATTTTCTGAAGAAGAAACTCCATTTGTGCATTTAGATTTGGCTGTCCTTTCTTGGTCTTCCTACTCAGTATTTTATAAGCTTCCATTTTTTTTTGCTTGTACAACCTCTGAGCTGCTTCTCTTTGTTGTTTTCTTTTTTCTGCTTCCTAAAACAAAATAGATACGATCGTGAAAAAAAATCTATAAGCAATATATTCTCTTTTATACGAGCACTAGTCATCAGGTACTGTACTGACAGTAGGCCACTGACTTTAAAAGCTTAATTAGGACTGTTTCAGAACGTAATGCAATCAAAATATATATTGTTTAAAGCTTCAAGAGAAAAGCCAAGTTTTCTTAGTAGAATATCCCACAAAGGAAGGTTTGGTCCCAAAAATGTACTACATCCTTTCTGCCAAATGTGCTCCTTTTTTTCTTAAATGACTCAAGTGCCCAAAGTTTTCTACCTTCTCTTTTTCAGTGCAAGACTGAAAGAGCTTGATTCAGCAACCCCATGAAAATGCCATACCAACCCAGATGTGCTAGGATACTGGATGTATTTGCACGAGACTGGCAGATATGATATGGGAAACATTTAGGTGTTCTGTTTGCAATACTAACATAGCATCACAAGCACATGATGTTGTGATGCTTAATCAGGACTGAAATTATAGTGACCAGTCCTCTTCAAAGGAAAACAGATTTCTGCCTTTACTAAGATAAGAAAAAGATGCAAATCAGTTTTCGACTGTACACGCATTACTTGTCAAGAATGCTTCACACATATAACCAGAACACTAATGGAGGCACTTGCTCTGTGTGGATAGTTACGATATGTTGGGTGAGGTGGGGGTTGTGTGCTTGCTTTTTTTTTTTTTTTTAAAATCAAAGAGCTTGCATCCTCTTTTCTAGCATAATTTTAGTAAGCAGTTTGGTCAAGCTAACTAGCTTCCTTCTCTTGTATCCTGTCCTATGTAAGCCATCACAAATCAGACTTCTTCTCAAGTTTATTAATTGAAATTCAATGCCATGATGACCCCAAAGGCTGACATGTCTGCAGAATGTCCAAATATATCATAAGTTCAGCAATTATATTTTTGTTTTCCATGGTATAAATAGCTTCTATGATGTACAAAAGTTAGTAAGAATGTTCTTTAATGTTGGAATGTAAAATCAACTAAAAGTAACACCCCTAAATAAATGAACGTCTGAATACTTCTTGATGAAATAAAAAATCCCTCTAACAGCAAGTGCAAAACTTAGAACCAAGAGTCATAATTCCAAAGACCTGAATGCCTGCACATCAATGGCAAACTGAAAAAGACTGAACATCACCAATATCTGTGCTCCTGTCCCATGGTCCTATTTGAATCCAGATGGAAATAGTATTAAACTACTCTATGCCTAAGATTCAAAATGATCTCTGTTTAACATTTACCTCTCTCTTCTTAGCACGCTCAGCCTGTATTTTTTCATACTCTTCTTTTGCCTTCTGATTGGATGTTTTTTTCTTAAACTTTCCTTCAGTTGTGACTGGTCTGTAAGAAAAAATACACAAAATTCAAATATGCCTGTTTGCAGATAGCCCATCATCACATATACCACGGCTACTGCAGAATCAGTCTTGCACTGTTTTTTGCGTATGGGGTGAAGTTAATTAGAAATATAGATTTATAGATTACATGAGAGAAGAGCAAAGCTCATCTTTTCGTATTGTACGAATACCTAATTGCACTACTCTTACATGTAATGCTATTTGGTATCATGTACTGTAATGAGCATCTAGCAACACAGCAAACTAGATTTCTTCATTCCAAGTGAACTAAAGACTGGTCTGCATGGAACTTTTAGTAATGCACATGTCTTATCTGCTGGATCTTAAGTGAATAGCATATATGAAGGCTAAGCATTGCCTAAAAGAGGATGTTTCTCTCCATCATACAAAGTCTTCTGAGCTTGAAAAGCTTGACCACTGCATTAACTTTGAGCTGTGTTATCTCTTTCTAGATCCAACACATGCACACAACTGCAGAATATGAGGACAAGCAAATGTCAGCAAATTGCTCATCAGAGTTCACGCTGACATGGCAAAGTGAAAAAGATTAGCAGCAACAATGCCTTTCTAAAACTCTTATTGAAGAAGATGGCATAACAGTATACTATGCCCTTAACATTCTGAAATTAGGAGCTGAATTCATATTCCTTCTTGAATTCAAAAAGATGTTATCCCTCACAAAAGAAAACTCTACAAAAACACTCCCACAGTGCCATTTGTCTGGCATTTATTGTCATATTATTATAATAGATATACAGAATTCTCTGCTTAGTATTATTTTTTCTGATTCACGGTAAGTCCTTTATGTAAACAGTGTGGTATCACATATTTCACACTTGAAAAACATAAGCTTTGCTAGATATTTAACAGCTGTTCACAGAATGAGTTTTTGTTTAGTCTACTGTTCATAATAAAAGACTTCTAGAATTCACCATCATCATCTCAGAAATCTCAGGTAGAAAATCAAAAAGGTAAGTGAACAGATTTGCTCACAGTTTTATGGAATACAACCCATCCGAAGGAAAAAAAAATAAAAATCTGTTATACTCTGATCTCCATCTTGTGGCAATATTAAGTAATGACACCCCATCTCAGAACTGCAAAACTACTTAAAAGGCAATGTTCGCTAATATTTTAACAGAATTACCTAATCAGTGCCCTATTTTACATCCCCATAGAGCACTGAAGTCTACCTAATAGTGTCACTGCACCTCGCACATTAGCAGCCAGATTCATATCAAATTACAAATTTTGTTTATAATCACGATGACTCTTGGTAAAGTTAAAAAAAGAAAAATCTGGTTTGAAAAATAGCCTAAGTTTTGCATCAGTCATCTCTGTGAATTAACTGCCCATTCCACACACAACTCTACTTTCCTCCTACTGCAGGGCTTGGATCTGATTGCCTCTCTCTGTACTCTCTTGCATGTTCTTCTTCCAAAAATTTAAATGCACATAGGGCTTGGAATTCAGAGATCTACATTACTCCCTGTAATGGGAACAAAAAGGTGTCATTTAGATTGGACACAAGAAATAAGTTTTTTACAATTAGGGTGGTGATGTACTAGAATAGGGTGCCCAGAGAGGTGGTGGATGTCCCATCCCTGGAGACAATCAAGGTCAGCCTGGCCCAGGCTCTGAACAACCAGATCTACCTGTACACATCCCTGTTCAGTGCAGGGGAGTTGGACTGGATGATGTTTAAAGGTCCCTTCCAAGTCTAAGATTCTATCAATAGTATAAAAATTGGCCGATGCTCTGGAATCAAACCCCGAAAAGCTGATTCTGATGTAAACACAACAAAGCTGTATTCTTACATTTTCTAACAGTTCAGAAAAACACTGAAGGCTAACGTGCTTTTTTTTAAGCAAATCATCATACTGGAGTCCATGTAAAGTGTAAGATCTAAAATACCTCTGTAAGCATAAAAAATCATTATTTTTAAATAAGTGTTTCCGTGACTTACTCTACTGCTTTATTAAGCTTTTCTTCTGATAGAACTGAATCATTTGGAGACTTGTGCTGTTTCTTCAGCCTCTCCTCCTCCGCTAGGTAAAGATGCTTCAGATGCTCTGGGTAAGTATCTGTGAATTGATCAGCCCGTGGTGAACAGATCTTCTGCTCCTTCTTCAATAATTTCCTGTATTTCCTTTCAATCTTCTGTTTTCTCCGAAATGCAAATCCTCGTCCTGTAAGCACAAGGAAAAAGGGAGTCAAATGCTGCTTATTGGAGCACCAGCAAACCATGTAGCTGTTGCCAGGACCACTTCCCATTTACATTCCTCCACACTAATTAGGATCATTTTCATCAGGACCTTTTACAGACTCAGGAGAAAAAAAAAAAAAAAAAAAAACAACAACAAAAAAACCCTGATAGAAACCCAATCCCTACTGCAGCTTGTACAAATGTACTGAGAATTACTGCCTGAACTTCACCATCACTGCAAACACGCTACTTTATGGAACACAGCACACGTTATGCCGCTGATACAAGCAATGCAGCAGGCTTACGGAGTCTGCACGGCTGCAATGCCACAGGGAAGCCACTCAGCTGCGTGACCACAAGCCGGCAGCGTGATTAGCGTCAGTGTTCTCCTGACAGCCGCGTGCCCGCAGCCAGGCTCACCCTGCTGGACGCTCCCCAGAAGGCCGTGCATTGCCGTGGGCCTCCACAACCGCTTCCGCTGCGGGCGTCGGGCCGCGCCGCCAGCGCTCTCCAAAGCCCCATGCTCGGACCCCGCACGCCGCGCCGCCGCCATCGCTGCCTCAGCGTCGCAGAGCTGCTACGTCACCACGGCGCGCCGCCTCCGCTCGGCGCTCGGCGCTCGACTCGCCCGCCTGCCCATCCGGCGGCGGCACCGCGAGGGCGGGCGGTAGTCGCGAGGGGCCATGCGGCGGGCGCGGGGCGCTCTGCCGGCCCAGCTGCCGGCGGCGGAGGCGGAGGAGGGGCTGCGGCGCCTGGCGCGGTTCCTGGCGCGCGCGTTGCCGCTGTGCCGCGCCCACACGACGGAGTTCTACGCGCGCGGGCTGTGGGAGCAGCTGGTGGCGGCGCGCCCCGAGGTTGTGCTGCAGGCGCTGCGGCGCCCCCTGCCGGAGGCCTCCGGCGCCGCGGCCGTGCGGTGGGGTGAGTCGCGGCGGGGCGTAGCGGTGGGGCGCGGGCAGGGACCAGGAGCTGCCTGCGCGCTTCCTGCCTCCCGCTATGGTATCTCGGGCGGTGTAGGCACTGTGAGGTTCTGTCCTCGCCGTTCAGACTTAATTTGCCTTCTCCTTTCTGTGGCAAAGTCAGATTGCAGTCGTTTCCCTTTGCTTTAATAAAAGGAGAATCTCACCCCACTCTGCAGAGCTGCTCTTTATTCCTCCGCCTGTACCAGCTGCTTTTTTTGCAGCCGTTTCCGCACTGCTTTGCCGCTGCTTTGCCCTTCCGGAGCCCTTTGTGCTCCTCCGTGTATGCGGACCAGCAGTACTCGCCTCACTCACTGCGACGTCTTTGCAACCTGGATAGCACCGCCTCGGTGCGAGGAATTGCACCCAGAGAGGCGCTCATAATGTTAGGTGGTGTCGTGGTCTCATTTCAAACTTCCCCCCCGTTCCTTTTGAGTGAGAAATGGCATGAAGTTCCCAGCTGGCAGACGCCTTTCCTCGGACTAATTTCTGAATAACTGGAGCAAAATGAACAAAATATATGTACGTATAAAATAAATTCATGCGAGTGGAAAGATGTAACTGTTAAAGTCCTCCAAATGTTGAAACTGTGGAAATGTGGAGGACAGCTGGAAAAGACTTAAGCGTGGCTTTCCTATATGTCTGTTATAATGAGTGCCTGGCAAAGGAAGACAGAAAGCAGTTTTATTTCTGACAAGAGCTATTTAAGAAGCACTTCATATTTTTAGTAATTTTCAAGTAACTCAAGAGGAGGCCAGCTATGAAATTCTATGAGTGAATTTACTGCTCTCCATGTAAAAAGGAATTGTACCGATAATATGCTCTCAGGCAGAGTAGAGAAATGAAGATAAAGCATCTGAAAGGTTTGTTATTTTGAGGACCTGAGTCCTGGCAAAGAGATCAGCTTCAAAACGAAGGTAATATCTTTGACAAAGAATGCAGGAGGAAAAAACTGCATCATGCCAAAGCTTGTTAAGCGTAGATGGCTCTCATGTAGCATTAGTTCTGGAATATGGCACGCGAAATGACACATGAGGCAGAAGAACATGTGGAGTGTAATGTAAGGGTCCACAAAAAAAAAAAACAGCATGTGGAGCTGAGTATATTTTGGCATAAACGGCAAACAGATAATAATTTGAATTTGGAAAGTGATTGAAGAGATGCGAATTGCGACATCACTTGTAACATTTGTCTCTTGGATCTGAAGACCTTCAAAATACTAACTGTAAGACTCCTTTAAAAAAAAAAAAAAAACAACCAACACAAAAAACAGAGCTAATTTATGTATGAAAAAGACACTGGGTTATGAATTGACTTTGGGAGCCAGATGGAAACAAGACAAAGAACCAGTCAGCAAGCAAAAGTGTTGGGAAGTGGTGAGCAAAACCTTTAAGTCAAGTATATTTCAGAGGTAATGTCAGAGTCAGAGCTGATTTTAAGCAATAGTGGGAACATAAAATAGAGTGTAATTGAGTCTAGAATAAAACGGATATTTGGATGAAGTCATCAAAAAGAAAACTGTAAAGGAAAATTACCTTAATCCTAACTGTATGTATGGGATAGCCCATGACATGATTCAGACACTGAGGTGGTGGCCTGTTAAGTAGAGAGGCAGGAAGGTAGAATATTGCACTGTAGAATTTAAAATTGGAAAATCATTTTCTGAGCTATATTCAAAGTGTGTGCTATGGAATCTAATACAGGAATTACTGGATCAAAGGACACAACTTATGGCTAAAACGAAGCACGTGTTTTAGGAGAGTGTGTCGCCTTCCTGCTGAGGCTGTGTTTCTTATTTTAAAATTATCAGATATTTAAACATTAGTTATATGCATATAGTTTGAAATGAGTACTAAATGCTCTCCTAACATGCTGTCATTCACAGAGTGACCTTCTTCTTATGAGGAGGTGTAGCTATAAGAAGAGATTTGTTCCATATGTCCAAATGACACTGGAGTCATGTACCCCAAATACCTTACGCACAGTGTGCGTAAAATGGCATTCTGATTTCATCTGGTAAAACCTTTGCTCTCTAAGAGTTTGTGCATTTATACGTTCACATTCCAAACACTACTATGGAAGTTTTCCAGAATCCCAAGTGAAATTAAAGGGGAACACAGGCTACACTTGACAGAATTTATTTGGAAATGGGAGGTCGTCAGTTCAAATTCACATGGTTCTGCAAATTAAAAAGTGACATTACTATAGAGTGACACAAAACTGTTATTGTGCACAATATTTTATTTTACTGTAGGGATTTTGATGAGTACACATGCTAAGCTGTAATTTTCTCTTAGAGATAGATAAGCAACAAATTACAGTTCTGTTGTATGGTATTGTGTGCAAGAGGAAGATTACATGTTCTTCAGCTTAGTTTTAAAGAATATTTTCAGACACTCATTAGATATTTCATTGTAATGATGACATAAAGGTTAGAATTCCTGGTTTCCAGTGGTACTATACAGATTTTTTTCAGATCAGTTTTTAGATATAGAAAATCATTTTATATATTTTATACATTTAAAAGCTAACATTTGCCATATTGTATCTTGTTTATCATGTGATTTCTGCAAATTGGACACAGGCACAGAAAATCTCTGCCTAATTATTCTCATATTTTACTGTAAATTACCATTTGTACTACAGTTCCATTTTTTTGGCATATATTTCTTTCCTCCAAAGATCTATTTGCAAGTATTTGGACTGTCTGGTTAAAAAGACATATTAGATTTCATCTTGAGAGCAACCAAAGTAGAAACAGTTTGAGAAAACTACAATTTTTAATATTTGTGAATAGTAAGTAGTCCAACAATTGCCTTTAGTGTGGAGATGGTCTGCGGAGATGTGTCTTACTTTTTGGCATAGGATGGTGTCATTTCCCTTGATATTTGTTACCTGCAGAATATTTGCTTGTGCTGTTGATCTTTGTGAGCTATTTGAAAGGTAGCTTGAAAAATTAGGGTGAATGTCTTCCTTGTATAGGTTTAATGTTTTCCCATAATGTCATCAGGGTAGGGTGGTGTAAGATGGGTATATGTATGGTTGCTTCTATTTTTCTGCTGTAGCTAGGTTTTGGCTAACCCTTGTGCAAAGGCTTGTAGTAAATGGGATTACATGAGGCTGGTGACCAGTCACTAGCAGGGGATCCATTTTAGGGCCAGTTCTGTTTAATGATCTGTATGTAGGATTTAACAGTATACCGAGTAAGTTCACAGATGGCACTAAATAATGAGGAGTTTTTGACTCCATTGATAAGAGAGGCCTTGCAGAGAGATCTTGACAAAATTGGAGGGCTGGACAATCACTAACCGCATAAAATTTAACAAGAGCAAGTGCTAGATTCTGAAATCAGGACAGAGTAACCCCACGTATAAGTACAGACTTGGGGACAAGAGCCTGGAGAGCAGCCCTGACAAAAGGGATTTGAGGGTACTGATTGATGGCAGGTTGAATGAATTGTTAGCATGCCCTTGCAGCCAGAAGGGCCAACTGAACCCAGTAGGGCAAGTAGAGGGATTGTCCCAGTCTGCCCTGTGCTGGTGTGACCTCACCTCCAGTGCTGTAGGCAGCTTTGGGTACCACGATATAAGAAGGGCGTAAAACTATTGCAGAGCCTCTAAAGGAGGGCTGTAAAAATGAGGAAGAGTCTGGAAGGCAAGACACATAACGAGTGGCTGAAGTCATCTGTTTTGTTAAGCCCAGAGCAGAGGAGTTGAGCAGAGGCTTCATGGCAGCCTTCAGCTCCTCATGAGGGGAGTGAAGGCATGGCGCTGACATGCTCTGTGACAGTGACAGGGCCTGAGGAAATGAGGATAGTCATGTTGGGGATTGGGAAAAGGTTCTTCACCAAAGGGTGAGCGGGCACTGGAACAGGCTCCACCTCCCACCCAGGCAGTGGTCGCAGCCCCAAGCTGCCAGAGATCAAGAGACATTTGGACAGTGCTTTCAAAAATGTGGTTTGATTTTAGGTGACATTCTGTGGGGCCAGGAGCTGGACTTGGTCATCCTTGTGAATCCCTTCTAATTCAGAATATTCTATAGATCCTGTGCTAAGTTTGTTCATATAATTATGTTGCATTTAAAGATGCAAATCTCCAACATATTATACACCAATAAGCTGTACAATATGTACAGCTGAGGGTCAATATAATAAAACAAGAGGTGTTACTTTTGGAGCACCCCTGTATTTCACTTTTATCTTTCTTGAAGGTTAATCAACTAAAGATTAGCAAATGTTCTGAAATTCAAACAAGAAGCAGTCATTTAGAGTGAAAAATGGCTTTCCGTTCTGATTTTGTTTCACAGAGAATTACTGCAAGTGCCATGCAGGCACTGAATGTAATTCTGGTTACAGCTTAGTATTTATGCTTTCTTAGTTCTATATGTTTTTTTACTAACTCTTGCCTTGGTATTGTTATACTGTAAAAATAAATGTGTTGACATTTTTGTGACTGTTTTCCATAGACTGAAATTTATATGAGATCACTACTCATGTATGAAAATTAAGAGTATTAGAAAGGGGGTGAATAAAACAGATCTATGCTTTGTACAGGTGGGCAGGCCAGATTCTGGAAGGTTGCTGTGCTAGGTATGCACTTGCTCATTATCTACCCATGGGAGAAAAGACAAACCAGGAAATATTTTTAAAATGAGTGTTACAATTTGTTTGCAGGTCTTGCTAGCTATCATCTATTATAAAACATTTGTAAGTGCTTAGAGATCTAAAATTACTTTTACCAAAACTATAGAGAATTCAGCAAATATGTTTAGCTAAAATACAGAGGAATTAGAAAATTCAAAGCAATCTCAGATTTAGTAAGTGATTCTTACCAATGTATGTTTCACTTAAAAATTGATGTGCATTTTTGAAAAGGGAACATTTTCTGAAGAGCTAACTAATGCCAGACTGAAATGTTTCATCCTCAGTCAAACAAAATATGCACTGGAATTTAACTTTGGCTCAAACCTGATTGGTAATAAAAATTAATTTAATTCTCCCAGCAGATTCACCATAGAATCATAGAATGACTTGGGTTGGAAGGAACCCCTGACACATGCAGGGCAGCCAGCCTCCCCATTTAATACTAGACCAGGCTGCCCAGGGCCCCATCCAGCCTGGCCTTGAACACTTCCAAGGACGGGTCATCCACAGCCTCTCTGAGCAGCCTGTTCCAGCACCTCACCAGCTACAATGCAGCTTGGAAGTGATGTAAATGTAATGTGTATAAGTCAAAACATTTCTTATGTTGAACAGCTTCAATTCTTATAATATCTAGTAGTATATATATTTTCAAATGGAGATAACTAAGAAAGGCATAATGAGCATGTTTGTAAACAGACGTGATGATGTTTACTGAATTATCTTGTTGGTTATATTAAAATAGCTGTGCTAAAATAATATTTTTCCACATCTGCACTAGTTCAGCTAAGAGCAAATTTTGACCTGCAATCTGAAAGGGGAGGAAAATAGCTGTAGAATAATGGCAAATTTTCACATGTGAAATAAATTGTTACTTCTGTCTCATACCATGTTATTTATTGCTTTTTGTTCTATGGGAAGATGCTGCAGGGGTGCTAAGCATTTCTAATAGAAACCTCTTCTTTTCCATACAGATGACAACACATTTTCTGACGTGTTTTGTGAAAACTCCAAGAAACTTATCAATGTACACTTATTTGCCCTCGCTGCCAAGCATTATTCTTTGCCTAACCTTGGTGTGTGTACCCCATTAGAAGAGATACTTGAAGCGCTGAGAGGAGACAGCCAAGAAGCAAGTGGTATATTTACATTTATATTTCAGTTTTTAATTCTCTTGCTACAGGATCTGCAGAGTTTTTGTTCCAGAGGGTGGTTTTGTGGTGTTTTTTTTTTTTTTTTTGTTTTGTTTTGTTTTGTTCTTACATGCATTTCTTTCCTGCATGCTTCTCAACTTCAGATCTCATTTGTTCTTAGATAATTTCTTCACTGCCATTTTTTAGAAAGTGGCTTCTCGTGCTTAAATTTCAGCAGAGGGGTGACAGCATTCAGGCTTTTGCTGAGATTCTCCGTGTTTCAAAGGGGTTGAGGTAGGCAATCAGGCACATCATTATTTCATATACAGATAAAAAATCTTGTTAATTCCCTTTGTTTTTCTTCTCCCACAGCAACACAAATTATAACTGCTAGTATTGGGGTTTTCTTTGTTTGTTTTCAAGTTTCAGTCTAAAGTCAGGCAGCCATACCTCTTCAGGTGCTGCACACAACTTTTGTTTAATGTTAGACATGTGCTTGGGCATTTAACGGAATATGGCCCAGTAAGAGTCTGATATATCAAAAGAAGCTGCTTTTATTCATTCTGTATTTTTTGGACCAGTACCAAATATGTGTCCTAAAATTAGAGTAGGTTCATTTTCTGTCTTTGAAGAGATTGGCTGAAAACACTCTCAAGGTGGTATCTTTACATTGGAAGTCTTCCCTCTAATTTTTTGTTTGTTTTGGATGATGAGCTTACATTTATGCTTTGACTGCTGTCATTTTCACTGCATCTGTTCTTTATGGAATCTTCAGTCATAGGTTTCTCACCATCTTTCAGATTTCTCATTAGTTTTTCAGAGACAGACTCTAAGCCAGTAGCCTTTGCTTTCTAGTGCGCTTTGTCACTGTAATAAATTAAAATGCCTCTGATGTTTTCCATCCTAAGTGATAGCAACAATTTAGATACATTAGGCATCTCTCCTGTTTTCTACAGCAATCTTCTCTTTCCAATTTTGCTATTTTTTGTCTCCCCAGTTTTAGATTTCTTCAGAATTAGTGAAGCAGCTCAAATAGTCTTAATGGTTTGTTGTGCATTGATCTTGCTGTAAGTTTAGTTCCTGACTTCTTTCCTTCTGCTGTTTTTCTGCCTGAAGCCTTTTTTCCTCGTTTGACAGCTGTGTGCTGCTTTCCTTTTGCTTACTCTTTAGCTATTAGCATTTTCGTTATGTTCTCATTCTCTGTGTTCTGCTTAATTTTCAGTAATTCTGTAGTTCTTCCTTGTTATATATGTACTTGAGTTCATTCTTGGATTGACTTTCTCAAGCAAAAATACAAGGATTCTTTCCTCATTTTCCTCATGCAGAATGAAACATAGAATAAGACAATTACTAATTATTTTGTTCTGTGTCTTGAAGGAGTTCTGTTTTGTTGGGTAGCTGGGATCTGGGTTTGTGGTGTAGTTATTCTAATGGTACTTCACTGAGAAAATAAAATGTTCTAATGTTCTGAACATAAACAATGGTATTATAATTCAAAACCTTTGTGTTGAACTGGCAAAGTATCAGTTAAATTAACTTACTTGGATGAATTAACTGCGTGTGTAGTTCTCTAACTTCTATAGCATATTGATGCAGACATATTACTATTCTTATTTAGAATGATTACCTGAAAAGGTTAGTTTCAAAATTTAAGTGTAGTTTGAATGTGAAGTGTTTTTTCCATTCCAATGAAGTTCTCTGTGGCCCTCATTGCCCCACTGGGTTGCTTGTGTTGAGTGCAAGGATCCAGTAGATCTGACCCAAGAGGAGCAAGCCAGTAAGGACAATTTCTCTTTTATACTTGACATAAGGAGAGAGGCTTGCTAAAATATTGAAATAATAGTACTTTCTACCTTTTCATTGTGTTTATGCACTATGTAATAGTCATGCAATTGTTAATAAATCTATCTTTAAATTACATGGACTGTCTGAATGATTTTTAGCATATGGTCATCCCAGTCCCTGCCAGTCTTGGCTGATAAAATTAAATTGCAGTACTGTAACTTCTGTGTAGATAGTGTTGTAAATTATGAATGGACTGAAAATTTCTTTTAAATCTGGTATATCTGAATTTCCACAGGTAGCAAGGGTATAAAAGATCTGGAAGATCTGCATTAGGCGTATATGAAATGCAGTCTCTCCTCACTTGGTCTAGGTCAGAACTAAAGATGTGGGTACCAATAGCACTGTGGAGTTAAAGCAGTTTTTCGATTGGAAAGCGTCTACTTACGCTAGGGTTCACAATGTAAACAAGCAGCATTTCAGTACCACTTAGACATTAAGCTCTCCCCTTTACTCTGTAATATCCAGAGTACTTCTGTAAAGTATTGGAGCCTCGCTTTCTTCTTAGGTCACAGAAGGATGTTTTGGGCATCTAAACCAGACCTTAAAGAGATGGGGTTTTTTCCTATTAGATTGACATATGTTTGCTTGTTTGCAAAAATGATTTAAAAACAGACAAACACAAAGCTATCGCAATCAACATTTAGCAGAAAACCCAGCAAAAATAAAACTAATAAAAGTAATCTTCTGCAAGCGGTGCAATTTTGCATGTGTTGAAATCTAGGCAGTTTTCATTCTGCAAAATGTAGGTCTAAAAATAATCTAGAAACTGTAGTAACTAAGGCGATAAATATCTGTGTAGGTGTTAGCACACTATTTTTTTTCACCTGGAACCTCAGTTCCTTTAAGTTGGGTCTTGTTTCAGGGTTTGCCCCTGGCATTTTAAATACTTTGGCTTAAGTACTGTTTGAAATTCTGTTGCAGAGTATTACCATGTCAGTCATTTGATCTTGTATTATAGCAAAGGGTGGAAGGTGTGATATGTGATGATGGCCCAGAGTGAAGGCGCTGCTTTGGAGACCAGACAAACAAATCTTTTATTTCTTTAAAAAATATTTAATATCTGATTCTTCATTTTCTGCATTTTCTTCTTCTTTTCTTTTTTTTTTTTTTTAATTGAGCTTACCCCAAAAATTCAAAAATAAAAAAAAAAGGTTTTGTTTTTTTCTATTTTTTCTTCTTTTTTTTTCATTTGAAATAGTTACAAATTAAGAGTTTTTGGGAGGCCATGGAGATCTTCACCATTTTAAGCAAATGGGAATCTTTAGTGAATATTTTAGCAAAACACTTTTCTGTTTCTGTTTTTTTTGTTTTGCCTTGTTTTGTTAAAAATATTTTAGGCTATTATTTTCTTCTGTCAGTTGTTAGATTTTTAATTGTCATAGCAGTTTGTTATTAAAAAAACAGATGTTTGAGAAATTGAAGGATCCTGTGGGTTTTCAAGAAATAGAGAAAACATTAGGTTTCTCATGAGCTCAGTGCAATTCCCCACTCTCTTTTAAATAAGTAATGCTCCTGGCTCTGTTCCCAGCATGGTCTGATCAAGGAATGAACATAGATTTTACCTAATGATCAGATTTTGGACAGACGAAGGCATACTGTGCAAAAAGCAGAAAATGGGAATATATTAATCCATTTTGTTTTCTAAGAGCATGCTCACCAGTAGCAGTCCTCTTTCTTCTACCCTCACCTAGACTTACAAAAATTGCTATCAATTTAACTCATAAGGCTTCTCACAAGGGAGCTGCTTCTGAGCTCGTCCTTAGTTGAAGAGATGTAGCTACGTAAACTGGTGCTAGAGGTTGGTTTCATCTCATTAACATATTTTGAGTCATTTTCTTTTGAAAACATATAGCAGTTCTGTTACCTATCCATAGTGTAAAGGGAAAAAACACTGCATCTTTCTTTAAATTTTACCAGCACTGTCATAACCTTTATTTAAGGTATCTCCCACTTGATACTTTGAACAAATCTGGAGAATTAACAGACAACACCGTGTGACTGTTAATTGTCCTTGCCTTTATATTTCATATATGTAAATATCAATATGATAAATCACATAAAAATTAATCTTTTTAAATTAAAAAATAAAAGAAAGTAGTTTTTTGGTAATAGCTTGTGTCTAATATCTGGTCAGGTCTTAGATACTTATAGTTTTTTAAAAAAAAAACTACTTTAAAAGTGCTATATTTTAAAGTGTTGATTTTTTTCATGTATCTATTTTTATGTATAATTCAGTTTAGTCTTGTAACTGCTCAGTGGATGTTTAATTAAAGATTACTGCTATTAAAGTATAAAAAATACTTAGAAATACTTTTAGACTGGAAAATATTCTAATGGATTATAAATGTTTATTATTATAGATTGTGTCAATATGTATATATTTTCTTAATCTGATACAGGTATCAAAACTGATGAGTTTATGAATAATAAGAAATCGCATGAAGTACAAGCAATGTCAGAGCTGGTAGACAAAATAGCAAAGTACTGTGGTTTAAAGCAGGTAAGAAGGCATTTCTTAATGTATGTTACTGTTTAATTATCTTTGTTCTCTTCAAATACCATATTTTGATATTTTTCCTCACAGCTCTCATTTTTTCTATAAATATAGCTAATGAAAAGCCTTTAGGGGCAAGCTGAAGGGCAGTTTTGTTTATAAATGGGTTGTTCTCAAGGAACTGCCTTTTAGAGAGCCATGGTCATTTTGTGAGTCAAAAAAAAGTAAGAAATCTTTTCATCCTCTGTATATGGATCAGCTAAAAATTGCACTGCTTTTTGCTAGGCAGAGACAGTGCCTTGTTGCAGTTGCTGCCTTCTGTTGCTGGCAATTTACTGTAGACTTCAGTAGAAGGGCAAAACTTCAATCTTCACCTGTGAGACGCACAAGAGTAACACATAGGGAAAAATGCAGATAATCTAAGGAATTTTGAAACCACATGCATCAGATGGCAAGTTCATCCTTGGGTGATGAAGAATTGCAGGATTTCTCTTCCAAAATGCAACTGTAACTTACCCTTAATGTCATTAGGATTGTGTAATTCACTAAGTCAGTCTTACATGAAAACCTTGTAGATGTTTACTAATGCTTCTCTTGGCAAAACACAAGCATCACAACACTTGACTTTTTTCAGTACCATATTTCGCATTGTATGTGTTAGACACATGTTATTTGCTCAGACTGAGTTTATTTTAGATAATGTAAACGATATGTTCTTATGAAGAACCACTTCAAACTTCATAGGTTTGGGTCAGTGTCTTTAGAAGCTGAAGATCAAAATTCTGAACTCTAACTTGTCTGTTTTGTAAGGAGCAGCTGCAAAGGGCAAAGTTCTAGGCAATCTCCTCATTACAACTGGGAATCTCAAGTAAACAGAGAACTGCAGCTAAGGCCAAATATTACTGGATGAGTTGCAATCTGTGAGCATCTGTAGTTACTCAGAGATGGTATGAGATCTCTCCAGTAGCTCGATCAGGAGATAGCCACAGTAACAAATGTGGATGTCCTGTACAACCGTAAAGTGTATGCACTCTATAAAGTGTGAAAATGCAGTAGTAATAGATACACAGAAGTAAATTCTAGTCATTCTATTTGCATATTTTTTTGCCTTGCTTACCTCTTCCTTCAGGCAAGTGTCAGTTGTTCAAGTGTTGAAGACTTTCATGTACTGAAAAAGTTTTAGAAAAGTGTAGTTTGCAAATAATGTGATACTAAATGTTCTCTGCATTTGCTAGAAGATGAATTGGTGGTGTTTCATATACCATTTTCATTTTGATTTTAAATACTTCCCATGAGATTCGTGGGTGAGAGGAAAGAAAAAGCCATAATCAGAGAGTGAAAAAGTAGAGCCACCTTAATGACCTCAGCTAAGTCTCGATGTAGCTGGTTACTAATAAAATCTTAAACTAACAATTATTAAGTATCTGTCAATGCACTACAATTTCAGCCTGTGATGATGCACTTTTATCAGATGACTTGGAGTATCCTTAGGATTATTTTCTGTTTATTTTTTGAAAAAATCGTAGCATTTAATGAAAAATATGGTTGCAATATATCTCTGAATATGAAATGCTGACTGCCTTATATTAACTTTTTTCCATTTTAGTCATATACTGTGAGAGAATTTATTTGTTCAAAGTTACAAATCCCTAATATATGAAAAGAGCTTTCCAGTACATGTTAAAAAAGAAAAAAACAGAAAAGCCTCCTTCCCAGTTATTAAAAAGCAACTTCTATTGTTTTGGTTACCTTTCAACTTAAAACAATATAAGAATTGTAAAGTTTTAGGAGAGTGTTTTCTTTATTGATTTTTTTTTCTGTCCTACTCGGCAAAACAAAATGTATATAACATTTAATTAAAAATGCTAGAGCTATGAAAACACAACACATGTTTTACAATAGCATGTGTCCTCAGGGTGTTTCTTTCAGATATTACAGATCACTGACGGGTTGAAAAATGCCCTCCATTTCACCTCCATACCATGATGTATAATGGGCAGTAGAGCATATTGTCCTCTTGTGGTATTTTACAATATACTAAACGTATAGTAAAAATGAAAATAAAAGCAAAAATTCTATTATTACTGTAATTACTTTGAGATTAATGATTTGAATTAAAACATTAAAGCAAATTAATCGAAGTTTTATTCAGTTGTTTACTGCTACTCTTAAGCATCGTTGTCCTCATACAAGTGGAACTTTTTAGAAAGAAGTTCTTGATTAAAGTGTGAAAAGAAGCCATTAGTAATTTTTCTTTACTTAATTGCACTTAATTTGATTCTTTAATGTATTTGTGAAAGTTTTCTTTGGAAATTGCAGCATGTCCAGCAAAAGTTGCAAGTATGATATAATTCTGCATTCACCATCCATTACATTTGTGATTTGGTGCTGGGAAAAGTTGTAAGGCGTATGGAGTTCTTGACTGTGTGCTGCCAGGAGGTGTGTTTAAACATAGTACCCAGCTCACTATGGACAGGACCTTTGGAGTTCATTATGTCATGGAAATTTCATTTTAAATGTTCATGCTTGGCAGATCTGCTATGGGTTACTGGTTGTCTTTCCTTATGTCATCAAGGGAAGGTAAAACATGGATTAATTTAATCCACTCTATTTGTTGAGCACAGGATCATCGCATTTTTAGTCAAAATTTCCTCGTTTCAGAGCTAATTTCCCAGTGCTAATTAAACGATGTGTTATTTTTTCCTAAGAATAGATGCCTTATGCCAGGAAGTGTTCAAGATCAGCTTGGACAAGGCTTTGAGCAACGTGCTCTGTTGGTCTGTTCTCTGCCTATGGCAGGGTGCTTGGGTGATCTTTAAGGTCCATTCCAACACAAACTGTTCTGTGATTCTTTTCATTTGTAAACAGCTGAAAAAATCTTCAAGAACCAGCAGTTGGTCTTTATAGCCACTAGAGATCATGTGTATGAGTCAGGAGTATTCAGTAATTCTCTGCTCAAATACTGACTTCACTGAAGTAGTTAAAATACCGTGTAGAAGTGGAGATGTGCATATTCTGCATCATGTAACATCTGTTACATGAGTTACTCTTTGGTAATTGCTCCTTGGGCACTTTTCTTTCCTTCAATTTTAAATAATCTGAGATAATATTGATGATTAATGTAATATATGACTGTACCTTGTCCTCACTCAAGAAATTTGAGGATTCTCATGTACCTAGACAAGCAAACATGCAGTAATATTATATGGAGAAGGCAAAGGAGAAAGGTGTGTATAGCCTGAGTAGACAATTTTTACTTAATGGCATGTATTCTCCACTGTTTTTTTTGTAGTCTTTAATGGCATTTATTTAATCTTTTCTTCCTAATTCCATGGCTGTACAAATCTTTCGTATTTTTAGAATAATTTTTTTTCATTTCTGTCAGGGTATTTCTGAACTGCGTATTCCTACCTAGTTAAAACATACGCACTTGTGTTTAAGATGGATACATGCAATATATTCTGGCATTTACACTTATGCAGTCAGTCTCAACTTCCTTACAAATGTTCAACAAACCAAGAACAAGACATGAAAAACATTCTCAAATTAATCTTTTTCAGGGACATCTACAAAGTCATTGTATATGTTCAGTATATATTTTTTGATTCATATCTGAACAGAAGTGAATGTTATGATTTCCTTCCCGTAGAGAAATGTCACTTGAAGTATCACATGCTATCTGCTACGAGAGAAACTGAACTTTCAGCTGGTTATCATTCCTATTCACACCTTCCTCCAGAACAGGCAATGGAAAGCACATGGGATATACCAGGCCCTTTGTTTTATTACAAAAACATCCTTCTGTTATACTGATTTGTACGGATTATTTTCACACACACAAAAAAAGGTATAAATAGGTGTTCTGACGTAAGAGGCAGTATTAATATGGCATGTCTTTAGGTCACCTCTGAATTGATTATGTTAAGCACTGAGACTGCAGACATTTTCTTCTGTGTACGTGGTTTAGTAGACTCCTAAGTGTCTAAACTTAATATGGACACTTCCTAACTGAGTATTTTAACTCCGTTTGGCAAGGGCAGGTGGTAGTGCTGGTGATTTATGGTTATTTTCTTTAACAGAAGGAAGTTCTATTTCAAAATACATACTGAAAGTATTTTCCAAAAGCGTCAGGACATGTGCAGTGCATAAGCATTCCATTGTCTGTTTCCTAAAGGAAATCAGTTTTGACTTAATTCTGTTTTTAAAGTCAGAAAGTGTGCCAGAAAGCAGATTTAAGTGTAGTAAGAGGGATAACTGATAAAGTCATTATCAAATCCATGCTTAGTTTTTTAAGGAAATATTTTGCGTTTGATTTAAATGTGTCTTGTTGCTCATTAATATGGTACTTTTTTTTTCTTTTTTCTATTTTTTTTTTCTTTTTCTCCATTATCAAGGTGATTGATATAGGTTCTGGAAAGGGCTACCTGAGTTCATTTTTGTCTATGCAATATAACTTGAAAGTTTATGGAATCGATTCATCGAAAACCAATACTAACGGTGCTCATGAAAGGAACAGGAAATTGAAGAAACACTGGAAAACTTACCAGAGTCGAGCAAGAGTCAATTCTGAGACCCAGAGGTTGGAAAAGCCAATAAAAAATGAAGTTAAATGTAAAGCTATCAATGAAAAGCCCTTAAGTAATAACAGCAGTCTTCAAAGTGAAGACCAAGGGACTACCCAAGACTTAGTTCCTTCTTGTGTTTTCACAGAAGTAGCTGTATCTGAGACCAGCAAACAAACTGAAATCAATTTGGCTCAGGCACAGTCTGATGAGAACAAGCTTTCCGAAGAGGCTCTTGCTATTCTCAGTGTTCTGCCTGCTGATGCTGTAGAATTTTTTTCTTCATCCCACTGTAACTATGGGGAAGTCCGTGAAGAGGAAAAAGCACAAAGAAAAATGGCATTTATGAAGGCAAAAGAGAGCAAGTCAAGTGAATCAAGCCTTTATTTTCCATTGACCTCCTACATCAGCGCAGAAACAGAACTCAGTGACATCATAACAGATTTAGAGGTTACGTCACTAATATTTGAAATATATTTTCCTTTGTCTTTATATTGCTGTTTTCGTACATCCGTAATGTGTGATGTGTGTACATATGTGAATGAATACTCTGACCCAGCTAGTTTACACTAGTATGTATTACAGATTCAGAGATTATTTTTCTACTTCAGTATATGTGTTAGTATTGTTTCGAATATGTAAAACAGCCTTTAGAATTTATCGAGTAGATTATAATCAGATGTCGAAATTAACAGTATACATATTAACATATTCGACTGTCTTACAGATCACAGATGATTACAGATGACATCTAAGTGTTTAAGAATTTTTTATTTACCAGGGAGACAAATATCTTAAGCCCTGGAATTTCAGTTTTCCTGAAATTTCTTGAAGTTTTATATTTTTATAATTTCAATACAATTTTGAGGGCATGAAGTAATTTATTGAGTACATTACTCAACATCAGGAGTTTATAATGAGCTATATATTTAAATAACGTTATATTTTGGCCTTTCCATGTTACTTAGTACTTAGTAATCTGCTAGCTGGCAGGAACTGTGTCTACACATGCAAGTCCAAACCCAGCTGCCCAAAGACAGTGACGCAAGTCTAGAAGCTGCTACTATGCCTGAGCTGACATATGTTGATTGAGTAGATACAGTCAGCCTTTTATGGAAAGATGAAAACTTGTATGCATTCATATACTCAAATGTGTATTTCATTTCTCATTTAGGAATACATGTTTGTGTTATTACTGTCTTTACATACCTCTCAACAGTAGGTAAAGCATCTGCCTTTAACATTTGCATGTTTGGATTTTATATCCTCTTAGTATATGATTTGTATGATATAAAAGGCAGGAAAAATCCTCCATCACTGCCTGTCTTTAAAAAAACTTAACTGTAAAAAGTAAAAACTGTACTGTGGTAAAAAAAAACAAAACAGACTGCATGCTACATGTGATGAATGTGCATAATTAAAATACTTTAAAAAATGTAATCATTTAAATGGCTCTAAAATATTTTTGGAAGTTTTAGAAATGTTTTTCAAATAGTCTTACAAACATTTACATTTATTATTTTAACCATAAATTGTGTTTTTTTCTCAGTTTTTTTCTAAACTGGGGGGAAAAAAGTGGAATGTGTAACATTAGTATTTACTGATTCATACTGTAAGTCCTGAAATTTATTTGAATTGCTGATGAAGTGTGGGGGTAGAAATGTGTGTTTGTTTGTAGCCCTGGACAAATGCTGAGGTACAAATTTTACTGCACTGACACCAGTGATCCAGAAAGTGTTTTCAGTTGCACCCAGGCAACCTCAGCGAAGTCGGGGATGGTCCAGAAGTGTGCCTGACCCAGGCAGATCATGCTCATATTGTTCAGAGGTTTTGAGCATTGTAATGTGTTTCCTGGATATGGAATGGATGGCATGCAGAATGGATAGCCATCTTCCACTCACTTTCCCCTGAAAGAACCTCTCTGACTTTAACTCAGCGGTTTAAATGCTGCTTTTGCAAGTGCATGTCTTCCATTAGCCTCCAGACATCGGTATTGTTCTGCTCTGTTTTATGTGGAAGAAAAGCTTTGTGGAATGGTGAGCTGGAGCTGACAAACAGGAAGAAAAGTCTTTAAAAACTAAGCTGAACTGGAACTGAACTTTTGCCACCAAAAATTTGCTAAGACAAGGAGAGGGCAATCAAGGAGAAGTAGCAAAGAGTGAAAGAAAGAACAGTAAGAAAAAGGAGTTTGTACAGTTTCACACAAATGTGTACTATACAGATACAAAGTAATAAAAAAAAAAACAAATATGTACATAGAATCAGAAAGGTTCCACAAGTGAATGTTGGCTAATTATTTGTTGATTATGTTTAATAAATAAGGCTGGAATTCAAAGCAATAAGCACCATGTTTAGATCCCAGTGCTAGAAGGGAAAAGTCTTGTTCTGAACAGTGAGAAGAAGGGTGATTTAGATGGTGAAATAGAAGAAAATGGGAAACTGAGGAAGAAGGAAACCAGAAATTAAAGTGGACGGAGGAATGGAGTGTCTGAAGTTCTTTATTTTAGGGAAGAAATTTCTGTTATTGAATCTACAGTCATAGGGACACCACAGTGCAGCTACAGTTCTGGAAGTAACAAAGCAGATGAAGAAGTTTATTAGGAAGTGGTTTTGTTTTCAGCAATTCAGAGTAGCAGAAATGCCATAGATCGGTCCAACCGTCTGTATTGTGGCAGTCAATCTGAAATAAGAAAAGGAAGTAGCAGTGGTAGTAAAAATTATGACAGGAAAGCTAGGAGAAAATGGCCACTGTCCAGTCATCATGCAGATGTTCCCTCCCATGCTGTTAAATGGCTGCTGTTCACGGTCCTGAGCTTTTGCTTCCTCTTGGAGATAATGTATATAGAAATAGAGTTCCATAGTTGAACAAAATACTGAGCAGTCTGGTTCCTCACAAACACTGTGTTTTCTTAAACTGGAGTGCTTTTCTTATGCCTAGAAAAGATTCTGGACAGAACACGTGGAGCCGTCATGGAGTTGTATATTTAAACCTTGTAGATGAATAACCCTTTGTAATATGTTTGGGTTTTGGATTTTGTTGTTATTCATGTTCTTTCAGTTGCACAGGGAGATCCTTTATATTGAGCATTTTTTTTTTCTCTTCCTAGGACTGTATAATGGTTGGTCTGCATACATGTGGTGACCTTGCTGCAAACACACTACGAATTTTTACTGCCAAGCCTGAAATCAAAGCAGTTTGCAGTGTAGGCTGCTGCTACCATCTGTTGTCAGAACAGTATGAAAACCAAGAAGGTAATTTTTCTGTGCTCAACTTGTGGCTGCCAGTTTGCATGTTGGGAATATTATACCTTTTAATTAATAACCTCCTGATGTTTGTTCCTTTCCAATGGCTTATTTAGTACTCATTTTAATTACATTACGTGGGTCATTCACTCCTGGATGCCCTGTAGCTTTCCTGTTATGCCAATATTGCCAATATTCGTACTGAAATTAGGGATGTTAATGCAGAATGTTTTAATGTGGTTATGAATACAGCTGGTTTTATTCCATTACTTCACTCATAAAATGTGTAGACGTTTTTGGCCAATGTTTTCATCCTTTTGAAATGTTTTGTACCAGATTTTGCCTTTGGCTGTCTGCATGTAACATCCATTTATGTTGAGTTGTACATGTACAACTATAAGCAGAATTAAGTCCTTGTAATGTACTCTAAAAAACGTTCATCTGATGCTGTGCTCTGGGGTTCTGCCATTTTAGAACATTAAGAAATAGCACATTTAATAGCTTTTCTTGGAGAGACAAGCTGAAAATCATTTGGGTTCTCAAACCACAGGGGAATTTTCCTTCAAAAAAAATGTTATTAATACTTCTGATAGAAAACTGATATCTTTAGTTGAAAAAATTACTTACTTTTCTGTACAGCCTTCAAACAACAAAAAGTTACAGATTATCTTTGCACAAGTGTATGAATGCCTGCTGGATTAGTTGGTTTAGCATGGAGATCTCATGCTGTTTCTGTTGTCTGCTGTTAAACAATCAACAATGATGGAGTCATTGCTAACAGAAGTACTACTTTCTGTTTGATTTAATACTTTCTGCATATCAACTCAGAAGTGTTCTAGTATAAGATATTAAAAAAGGACTTAAGCTGCAGCTAAGCCCTGTTACGTCGCTTTCTACTTCATCATTCAATGTCTTTTCGCTGGGATTTTCTACAGCATCTTCTGTGCCTACTTCAAGTAGTGTACAGATTTACAAATGCATTAACATCTTCATTTCTGTTCAGCTCATTTGTTTTTGATCCATAATGAAAAGCATTAAGTAGCTGGCTTTTCTGAGCAAACAAGTGTAATGTAGCTGAACTGTCTAAATGACCATCTGCCGAAGATGAAACTGATAAGCATATCAACCAAATTTGGGAAAGAGTGGATTGGCAAAGTTTATTTCATCTGTCTCAGGGAACTATATGGACAGAAAGGCAGGAGGAACTCAGCTGTTATTCTGTAACAGTTGGCTGCTCAGCCAGCTAAGGCTAGCTATGGGTTGACAACAATACATGCTAGCTGTGTCTTGTTTTAGTAATCTTTGTGTACGTTGCTCAGTATGGACCTGCTGCAGTTTTGAAAGTTTTTGGAGTTTACTGATTTCAATTATTTCACAATGCTTCAAAAAAAAGATACAATAGAAATTTATTCTGCTTTATTTGAAGTCTAGAAACTCAATTAGTGAAAAAAATAAATGAATAAATATTTTACATTAAAGTTTTAAAAAGTGATGAACTTTTTAGACACTCATAATTTGAGTGTATCAAACATTTGGTTGTTTCTTGTTATTGCAAAGAGGATACAGCTTCCTGCTCTAGTTATTGGATGCTTACTTTTTCCAGATCATTATGTAAGGCTTTACTAAATATTGGTACTCAGACACAACCAAAGCATCAGATGTGATAGCCCATTCTAAGTTCAAAGAAACAGATGTGCATGCAGTTTTATAATATTATGGAAATGAGACTGCGCTGGAATTTCTAGCTGTTGGATTTTCCTCTACTTGATGGATGCAAATAACTCTTAAAGAATTCTTTATGCAGAGTAAAAAGAAATTACAGTATTCTTTCGGGGGGAAAGAACATGGAAGATAGAGTAATGCTCAAAAAAAATTATTATTATTTTTTTATTACTGTTGGCATTACTAAAATGTTGCCATATTCCCCTGGAGAGGACATTATATGATTCGTTGGTGAATGTACAGTGGAGGGCTGATGGTACAAGGACCAGCAGTGATTCAGCAGCCCATTTCAGTGTTTGACCATCCTTACCACCAAGTTTTTTTTCTGAAGTTCTCAGCTGAAGTGCATAATGTCCTTTCACTATGCAGCTCCAGGAGTCTGGTTTAACCTCTTCTCTTCCTTTCCATTAGGTAGGAGTTAACACTGAAGTTAGATTCTCCTTCACCTTGTCTGCAGCCCTGTAGTCCCAGTCATTCCAGTAAGGGTGGAACATCCAAAGAAGCTCTAGATAGTCTCACAAGTGCTAAAGAAAGCAAATAATCATGTCTCTGAACCTGTGGTGAGCACTGAAACACTGTTAGTTTTCTACTCATGTTATAGTCCACCTGCTGGAATCATTAATAAATTTACCAATGCTAAATATAGGAGGAGAATGACCTCTTTTGACCAGCTTGCTGTGCTATTTAATTCAACTTAAAATGCGGTTTGCTTTTTTTGTCTGTCAGGGCACACTGCTGATTCATGTTGGACCCTCAACTATTCTCAGTATCCTTGTTCCAAGATTTGTTCCATAATCTTGCTGAGAACTGAAGTTAGCCTGAGCATGGTGTTTGCCTTTTTCCTGTCACCAGGAACCTCCCTTGATGGATGTGACTGTTCAGAGATAATAGTATGGCCTTCTTGTGACATCAGCGAGTTCACTCAGCTCTTGACATGCATCCCATCTGGTCTCTTGGACTTGTGTATTTCCAGATTGCTTGTGTGGTCCCTGTACTGTAGGTAGTGCTTCACTTCCACTGGCTCTGCCAGGGAAGCTAATGAAGGCCTTATGTGGAGAGTATTAGAATGCAGACTTAGAGCTAGGACTCTGTGGTGACAGACAGAAGAACTTCCTAAGAAGCAGACCAAATTAATTGTGCGGAATTAACTGGAACACAGGAAGTCACAATTGTTTGAAATCAGTCCAATATGCGAGGGTTTGTCTGTGAGGCCACAGTGGGACATTCTATTATAAATCATTTTATACTTGTTTTATCTTGACTTAGTGGCTTTGAGGATTCTCTGTTTTAGACATGTAAGTACTTGATTTTATATTTATATTAAGCTTTTGCCTGGTTTACCTTGAGGTGCTTATTGTAAAGAAGGTTGAGAGTGTCTGTCTAAAACCTCTGCCTGTCTTGTTCTGCATCAGAGAAAAATCTCCAGCACCACCAAAGTAGCACATTTTCCATCTTCCCCTCTTCCTTTTCTTTAATGTAAATGCAGATGGTTGTTCTTGTAAGCCTTGTTAAAGCAGATGTGCCAGCCCACACAAAAGCTGCTGGGGACTGACAGTTGCCATGACTTGAAAAAACTGGGCTGTACGTTGCTTGGCAGTTGTATTTTATTTAATACCAAAGTCAGTCTTGTTTGAGGCCAGTGAAAAATTGTTTTTTCACTTTTTATTAAATGGGATTAACTGATACTCATGGGAAGAAAATTTACCTGTTTCAATGCCTAAAGTAGCTTTTATAAGTCTGAGATTTTGAGATGACAAAATATCAAGAAAATATTACTAAGCTAGTTTTGGCAGGCTGTTGGTTCACACTGGATATTGGAAGGCTGTTTTTTTTCTTCTGAGGAGTTGCGAACTAATAGCTTACATTTCTCTTATAATCTAAAAATAGTAAAGATATAAAATTGCTCAGTTCAGTGTGCCATTGGTCCTGCTGTGAATATGTTGGGAGCAAATTGGATAAAAAGTGGATGCCATAGTCACAGTCTTGGATCTTGCAGTTGGCATACAGTATATCCTTCTAAATATCTACAAGTAAACGAAATTCTTCTGGATTTTTTTTTTTTTTCAATGAGTGAATGCTGGAAATAACTTTGAACTCTTAAGAACATGAGAGCCTTCATTTTATTAACTACAACAACCAAAAGGTGCTGTATAATCTCCAAATTACGTTCAATTAAAAAAAAACCTGAAGCCATTGACTGTTGAGACAGTTGGCTTTAAATTTTATGGATGTCAAAGGTCGTATCAAGTACTAAACTTCAGTTAATAAGGAATGTTATGACAGCTATCAGAAAATTCTAAGTAGTTTCAGTTTGACTTTCTTTAAGAATTGGCTGTTTGTACAGAGATTCTTCTATGCATTAAATGTGCTTTGCCATTACTACAGTGGATTCCTTTGGGATCTTTCTTCACTGTTACTGCATCTGATAGTCAATTACATCAGAATAGGAAGGATTTTTCTAGAGACTTTTCACATGTATTTATTTATTTAGGGCTGGTTTTTATGGAAAAATGAAGTCTGCCTATGATTTTTTGATTGAAAAAAAAACAAAACCTCTATTCCTCTGTTCAGGAATTCTGGGGAGCTGTTTTGTCTTACATTCAGCTAGCATGGTTCTGGGACATGGACTATAATTATTCCTTAACAACAACAACTACGATTTTAAGGTTCTTCTACTTAAGACTTGACTTCACTTACAAAGGAATTGATGTGTTTTTATATTCTAATTCTATCCCTCTCACCATCCATTCTCTGAAACACTACCAATCTACTACGTACTGAAATCTTTATTTGATATCCTCTGTTTTGAGAAAATAACACGTGAACTTGAATAGGTAAATAGCTGCATATGAATAAGCATTTCATAATACAAAATAAAACGTAGATATAATCATAGCTTCATTGATAGCAGACTGATCAAAACTCCTTTCTGAAGTTAGCCTGAGTACTGCAAATTGTGAATTCCAACTATTACAAGGTTTTCCAACAGCAGGTATCTACTCTAGGAAGGAAAAGATAAATGCTAGGCAGAGGAATTCCAGAGATCTACAGGAAAATGTGAAGGGGAGGTTATCTGCAAGGCATTCTGGATGAAATCAATAAACTGTCTGCAGAAGACTTGGTCTCTAAAGCTGAAGTTAGATACATATAAGCTTTCATTACACATCAGGTTTTAGAAACTAATGAACATAATGAAGGGATCTGAGAGGGGTGCAAAGGGCTGTTGCAATTCACGTGCAACATTTTATCAGATTTGTGAAAACTGCAGTGGCTCTGAGTAAGCTGGA